AGTTAGTCTCTCTTCATAAAATGCAATTACAATCTGAGGACATTTCATATTCGCCTCTTTTGCCAGCACCAAGTCAGCTTCATCCGAATCTTTCCTGTTACAAGGAAAAATAAAGTTAAAAAAATTAAAATTGTTTATGATAACAGAATCATTCACTTAAAATGGAAGTAGCTCTGTGGCTCAAGTGGTACAGTGCTGGCCTTGAGCTGAAGAGCTCAGGGACAGCGCACCCAAGCCCCAAGTTCAAGATCCATGACCAAGCAAAAAAAAAAAAAAAAAAAAATTTTTTTTTTCATTTCAGAGTACTGGGAATGTGGTTTGGTGGTAGAGTGCTTTCCTAGCATGCATGAAACTCTGAGTTCCATTTCTCAGTACCACATAAACAGAAAAAGCTGGAAGTAGAGCTGTGGCTCAAGTGGTAGAATGCTAGCCTTGAGCGAAAGAAGCTTAGAGACAGTGCCCAGGCTCTGAGTTCAAGCCCCAAGATTGGCAGAAACAAAGAATAGAAAAGAAAAAATTCATTCAAAAGGTATTTAAGAACAAGGCATTGGTAGAATACGCCAGTAATCCTAGTTGCTCAGAAGTATGAGATCTGGGAATCATCAGCCTGAGCAGAAAACACTCTCCGTGTGAGTTCACACCCCAGTTCTGCATCAGCTCCCTCCCAAAAGAGGGTGTTTAATCTTAATCCCTTTGGAAAAGAAATGTGGTTGGTGGCTGTTGCTTATGTTTTAATAAACTTTATTTCCTTTAATAGGCCATAGGTTTGCTAATGCTTGCTATAAAACACTGCTATCCAAACTAGAATTATCCTTTTAGCACATGGTTTGTAGTTTCAATCTCCATGCCACCTCCCAGTCCTAGGACTTGAACTTAGGGCCTGGGCTCTGTGGAACCTCTCTGTGCTCAAGGCTAGTGCTCTATCACTTGAGCCACAATGCCACTTCCGCTTTTTCTGAGTTGTTTATTGGGGATAAGACTTGGGGCTGGGAAGGTGGCTCAGTGGTAGAGCGCTTGCCTTGCATGCCTGAGGCCCTGGGTTCAATTCCTTAGCACCACATAAGAAAAAAGCCGAAGTGGCACTGTGGCTCAAGTGGTAGAGCGCTAGTCTTGAGCTGAAGAGCTGAGGGACAGCGCCCAGGCTCAGAGTTCAGGCCCCATGACCGGACCCCCCCCCTAAAAAAAAGAAAAAAGGAAAAAGACTTTCCTGTCCTTGGCTGGCCTTGACCTGCAATCCTCAGATCTCAGCTTCCCAAGTAGCTAGGATTAAAGGCATGAGCCACCAATGCCCAGCAAGTTTCAATTCTTATAAGAAAAACTACAAAACCTTTCAGACATGGCTCTACAAAAATTTACATGTATTGAATCTCATTTTAAAATAAAACTATTGCCTGAACACTTACCATTTCATGAGAAACATCAATTCTCCACTGCTGTCTGTGGCACCAATTATTCGTTCAGGATCTAGACCCCTGGCAAAACCTCTTGGTTTGTCAGCCTTTTTGGAAGAGGATAGTGATTGCTTACATTAAGTGTTTCCATACAATTTTCCACACAGAAAACCTAAAACATTACTTTCTAATGTCTTCACAAGATATACCTTCATCAAGACCTTCCATAGTGAAACAAAAAGATGAGTCCTTATTTGGCACTAAAACATGTTGTCATTTCCATTAATTGCACAAGCAGAAAATCAAGTCTGATATTTAATGTAGAATGTTTAGTCCTAAAAACATCCCAAATTAAAGCAAATTTCCAATCTCAGCATGGGCAAAATTATGTGAGATAATAAAAAATCTAATTCCTTTATTTCTGGTAATAAATTTTAAGTTTTTTTCTCCTCCTGTCAAGAGACAGAGCCTAATTACATATTGGGAGGTGGAGGCAGAATTACAGAAGGTAAGGCAGAAGATTCAAGGCCAGTCTTTGTCATAGTGAGACCCTGCCTACAAACAAAAATCCAAAACAAAAAAACCCAAGAAAATCAAGCTAGTTCTAGGAATTAAGTCTAAATCAGTCACATATTTAAAAGCATAACCAGAATAAAGAAAAAATGTAGGTACAAAGCAGTGGTTCTCAAAGTATGGTCTGAGGAAACCTGACTGAGATCTTAGTCAGGGCTTGTAACAGGCTAGCTATTACTATCAAAAGTATATACCTATAAATGTGATTTCAGAACCCAATTTGTAAGTAGTTTTGTTCTTTCCTTCTATAAAATAGAAACCCTATAAAGATCCAATAAACTATCTGTAAAGGTCTCATCTAGTTTAAATGACCAAATATCAAATCCATATCAAATCTATAATTCTTTACCAATATATATAAAACATACTTGGAGCTTGACCCTAAAAACTAATTCAGTACTAATTCAAAGATCTATCCCTACATTACCATGGTAGTCCAGTAGGAGGGCAAGTATAGTGAGTTTTTTATAGTCAAGGGTATTAAGTTACCAGACTTGTTCCAAACAATAGTAACATTAGTGAGACAAATACTAGATCGACATATAAACAAATCGAACTTTCTATTCATGCCAATAAATTATATCCTGCTTATCCTTTTTGCCATGCATTAGCAAGTCATTTATAAAAGGCTTCCTAATGTTATTTTAGAAGTCTTTAAGATTTGAATAATATCTATTAAAAAAAATTCAAGTCATCAACCTTTTTAGTACCAATCTTCTTGCTGGCATTTTATACTTACAGTATCTCTTTTCTTCTTTGATTTGCTATCATCAGATTCACTGTCTGATAAAGATTTTCTTTTTGTACCATCCTTTTCTTTACCAGCTTTTTGAGAATTAAGAAATGCTTCAATTAATTCTGGACAATCTAAATTTTCTTCAGGTTCCCAAGTATTATCAGCACTGTGTCAAGTAAAATACATTGATTCAGTTACACATGGTTCATCACCATCATCTGGAACTTTTGTAATCATCTGAAAGTAAATTTCCATTGTGCCTATATTCCCAGCCCTAAATGGGCAGTTTGTTATTTTCTCAAAGTTAACTGCACTTGACGACTTTGAAGGAGTAACTGAAGCTAACATCTCCCTCAGATTAATTAACAACCTTCTTTAGAATGTGTTTAACTAGACACTATGTTGGAAATGAACCCTACAACTTGGGGGCGAAAAGACCCAATGTGGGGGAAAGGTGATTTGAAGTGGAAGAAAATGACAGAGGGGCTAACATTGTTCAAAAACAAATGTACTCATAAATAAAAAAGAAGTGTATTCGTTATCTTATGTAACTATAACCACTCTGTACTCCACCTTTACTGTGTGTGTGTGTGTATTTGCCTGTCCTTACTATGTATGTACGTGTGTGTGTTTATATATATTTACCTGTCCTCAGGGCCTGGGGCACTGTCCCTGAGCCTCTCTGTGCTCAGGGACTAGGGCTCTTCCACTTGAGAAACAGCACCACTTCTGGTCTTTTCAGTGTATGTGGTACTGAGGAATCGAACCCAGGGCTTCCTGAATGCTGGCCAAGCACTCTATCACTGAACTACATTCCCAGCCCCCTACAGTAATTGCTTTAAAAAAGAATGCGTTTAAAGTTTTTTAAAATTGTTATTAAGGTGATGTACACAGGGGTTTGTTAAATAATCAGGTAGAGTGCATTTATTTTTGGACAATGTCACATTTCCCTAATGTGCAAAGCTCTAGGTTCAATCATCAATACTGCAGAACAAACTCAGATTCTGATTTCCATTCCAAATTATTCCACACACATTATGCCCAGAGTTAGGCTAGTTTCAGATGTACAAGTGTTTTTGATTTCTAGTATGTTCTGAATTAGAACCAAAAGCCTAATCTAGCCTTTTGTAATGGCCTGTAACCAATGTTTTTTTATATGTTGTAAAGGATGGGGGAAAATTTCAAAATAAAAATTGTATAAAATTTTAATTTCAGAGCTCAGTGTTGTCGGTGTTGGGCACCAACAGCTCACATCTTTAATCCTAACTACTCATGGGGCTGAGACCTGATGATGGATCAAAGTTTGAAGCCAGCTTAGGCAGAAAATTAGAAGTATGGTTCAAATGGGAGAGCACCATCCATGAGCAAAAAAGATGAGCAATAACACTTTACGCCAGAGTTCAAGTCTCAGTATTTGTGTACGTGCACATACATGCACAGACATCACAAACACAAAAGGAGTTAATGGAATATAGCCATGCTCATCTGCTTAATATATCATTTACTGCTTCTGTACTACATCTACAGAGAAGTTGTATAGATAGACCAATCATAGTACATAAAGACTAAAATAGTTACATATGATGTTGTAAGGCTGAGAGGATAATTGCCACGTTTTCTAGAAGAGCTGTAAAGATGAAAATGATCATTAATTAATAAACATCCTATACTGATTATTAAAAATTAATGGTCGTCCTGTATTAGTGATAAGCTTGACAATTTTCCCCCAAAGCCTTTTCAGAACTAGAATTATTTTAGGGATGTTAGGAAAGGTACTACTAACTTCATTGGTTGATATGCGGACCCTGAACGGGCAAACTTATAAGAACAAAGGCCTGAAGTTCTAATGTGCTGTTATTTTCAGTATAGATGTCTACATTATCTTGTATCTCCATTTAACTAACTCCCACAAAGCTTGATTCTTTGGGTGGGGATGGGGGGGGAGGGAGTTCAATCCTGGGGTTTGAACTCAGGACCTGGAAGCTGTCCCTAAGCTTTTGTGCTCAAGGCTACTGCTCTACTACTGAGCCACACAGTTCCACTTCTGGTTTTCTGGTGGTTGACTGGAGATTAGGCTCATGGCCTTTCCTGCCAAGAATATCTTTGAACCATGATCCTAAGATCTCAGACTCCTCAGTAGCTAGGATTTTAGGCATGAGCCACCAGTGCTGGGCTTTAAGTTGTTTTCTTTGAGACAGTTATTGTCTTGTGACCAGGTAGCCTGGAAAGTAATATCTTTCCACCTCAGATCCCCTAGTACCAAGGTAACGGGCACTGGAGGTGGCTTTAAATTTGTCAGTTGGGGAAATTTTAGATACCAAAAACTTAATTACTTGACAATAACATACCTACCTCCACCAATTATTTGTAACTAATTTGTAACTAACACTGACCATAGAGCTTTATTCACTGTTTTGTGGTATAAAGCAGGATACAGTGTTAACACTTCTATTCAAGACACTTGTTTCAATTTTTCAGCTCCGTATTTGGAGGAAAAAATGTAGACTAAATATTTTGATTGCATTATCCAACTACATTAAGCTCTGTAATTTCATAATTTTCTTTTTAAAAAACAAACAAAAGGGTATGTATTGGTTCACGTGACTGAAAAGTCCAGGAGATATGCTGGATCCAGCAGCATAAACATTGTCACAACTCAAGTGTCTCCATCTTTTGGTTCTTGCCCTCTGCATAGGCTTTCTTTTCTTCTTTTCTTTTTTTTTTTGCTGGTCGTGGTGGACCCGAACTCTGGGCCTAGGCGCTGTCTCTCAGCTCTTCAGCTAAAGGCAAGCGCTCTACCACTTGAGCCACAGTGCCACTTCTGGCTTTTTCTGTTTATGTGGTGCTGAGGAATCGATCCCAGGGCCTCATGCATGCAAGGCAAGCACTCTAACCACTGAGCCATCTTCCAAGCCCTAGGCTTTATTTTCTAACAGACTCATTCAACATACTGATTTCAGTTTTTCATTCCAAAGCTAAAGTATTATCAGTAAAGAGAACTTTTCTCCCACAATTCAACAATTCTCCTAGGGCTGAGTATCACTAAACAAACTTCAGTCAAAATTTGGGAAGAAACAGTTGATGGGCAGGAGAGACCGTGAGACTCCTATCTCCAATAAACCACCAGAAAACCGGAAGTGGCGCTGTAGCTCAAGTGGTAGAGCGCTCGCCTTGAGCTGAAG